TTGTGTTGTGTTGTGGTGTGTTGTGTTGTGTTGTGTTGTGTTGTGTTGTGTTGTTTTGTGGTGTGGTGTATCGTGTTGTGTGGTGTTGTGTTGGGTTGGGCTGGGTTGGGACATGCGGTATCGTATTTTGCTGTGATGAGCGGTGCCATGCTGTGCCGTGTCGTATTGTGTAACATGTCGTTTTGTGGAAGTGTATATTCATGGTGAGCGTCTCAACCTATTATTTTGTGTTGTCATTTTACGCAGTGTTGGTGACACTTATTTGACACTTCTTTTAACACTATGAATGATTATTACCACAAACGTATCTATACAAATAATATTATGGTATAACTTTTAATAAAACGTATTGTATAATTGTATTGCGTAAACATACCAAATAAGTGGCAATGTGCCTCTACTATGTTACACACGCATTAACTGAGTTTATTTTCCCACCTAATGTAAACTACACCGATCTGCGTGTAAACCTGCTGTTCAATTATGAATCGTGGAAATTCGTGCATTTTCTTACTCTTTGAGTTTGTAATTCAGCACTATACATGTCTAAATTAATATATTTTCAGAATTACACATACATATATACTTTGTTACTTTGTTGTACTCAATAAATGGAGAAGATGGCATGCTATTATCCAAGTATGGGTGGGTTTCGAAGTATAGCTAAACTAGAAATTTACATTAGAATTTCTGTTGAAAAATTAATGAGTGTTTCGCAATTCGTAGAGCGCTTGCCCCTCTACAAAATACTCGTCTCCTATTGGCTGTTTTGTGTTTTGTGGTATGCGCACTACGGGAACTGATTTTGTTAATGCGAAAACGAAAGTTGTTAAGGTTGGTAGTATTCGTTTTTTTGCAGCATAGATAAAGATATGCTATCACTTTGGTATTCAACTAAGGTCGCGACAGTATTTTTTTTAAATTTTCCTCTGATGTGTTTCATTATTCGAGCAAATGTACTTCTTCATTTGCATGGAAATATGTGTTAGATTATGTAGTGTGGTAAAATAGGACAATTATTTTTACTTCAAACCACACTTTAAAATGTAGATGCAAAATGTCCGGGGCGGATTATTTCTATCATCATACGCCGGATTTTCATTGCAATATAAGTATTTTATTTCATTTTATCTTGCAGATAGATTATAAATATCAAAATATTTACAGCAGAATTATCACAGTCGTATTAGCAGTGCAGGGACGAGCGAAATAATCCTGTTTCACATTGTGACTAAAGCTGTGCTAATGAAGCTGAGCTAATGAAGCTGTGCTAATGAAGCTGTAATTAGGTGAATACACACAAGTGATCTATAGGAATATATAGCGCTACTTGTCATGATTCTAGCGTACTACATAAACACAGTGCTTTGTTTCTATGACTATGCATGATAGATTTACAACTCCTAAAATTAACAGAGCAGTGATGCATATTTCAAAAACTGATATATGGTAACAATAACAACATGTCATTGATAGTTACTACCTCGCGCTCATACGCAAAAACACGTTAAAGAAGCATAATGAAGAACTAGTAAAGCGAAATATTTCTCATATCATGACGTCTGACGATTCCGAGTCAACAACAGTATATTCAAACGAAGCTATATGACCAAAATTGAATCATTTTGCATCATTGATTTATGCCTCTCCTAGTGGGTTGTCCACCCATGGGTATACCGCTGGGCATTCAACACAGGTCTGGAAGAAACGGTCTCCCTGGTGCTCCTCATCATTGGGCGCGTAGCTGATGTTGAAGTAGCCACACAGGTTGGGATGGGCGCATTAATAGATTGTCACGATGTCGATTGCGTGGTGATGTTTCTATACTGAGCTATTTAATAGATTGTCACAGGTCACTCACTATTCTATGTTGATATTTCTCTACAGGTCTAACATAAAGATTGTCACATGTCACTGTTCTGTGTTGACTCTATATACAAATCTTGGTTACAGATTGCCACAGGCCTCAATTCTAAATGAATGTTTCTATACAGAGCTAACTACTAGATTGGCATAAGACTCTGCTTTGTGTTGATGTTTCTATACAGACCTACCTAAAAGAATTCCTCAGACCGCTAATCTGTGTTCATGTTTCTACACATCGCTAGCTATAAAACGTTGTCACAGGACAATATTCTATGTTGATGTTTCTACGCAGCGCTGGCTGAGAGACTTCCGCAGAGAACAATTCCATGTTGATGTTTCTATGCAGCGACTATGAAGTGATTGCGAATAGTCACGGCTCATTATTTATTGTACGAACTCGTTAGAGTTGTATACCGTGAGTGTGGATCGACGTATGCATCAGCATGCTTCTTGTCCTATCGAATGGTGTAAATTTTCTATGGCTGTGAGAATAACCAAATTACACGTTCGTGAACATGAGTCACGTGATGGCTTTAGCAGACTAGTTCTCGTGTCGATATGCACGCGATGAGTATCATTGAATAGCAATATATCCGCTTGTTAGCCGAATCTGTTTACCACGTTGAAGGTCGTATTTCTTTGCTCTACCTTAAATGCAGTTTCGTGGCATACGTGAACCTAGATATATGTGTGTTTTTAACCAGTTGGTCAATTTCAAGTTAATAAAATATGTGCACCAAGACGTCTCGATGCAGTAAACATACCGTGTGTAATCTGCAAACATGCTCAACAAGAAAGTTCTCATTTCGAATTAAAGAACAGGTCTATGTTTTTTCATACGAATTATTAATAAAAAATTTATTTACAGCAGATTGATCACATTCCATATAAGATCACACAGATAAGCTTGAGGAAAGCTTCTTTGAACGTATGACTAACTGCTATTCTCAAGATTGTAGTAGTAGTGTTGACACTACGCAGGATTGGATGCTGATTGATATATATACTTCTTTGGCAGGAATACACTATCTGTCTGATAGAACAGGTTCGTGTCCTCTAGGTAAGAAAAATGTCCAAAATTATATTACAGGCCGCTAATGCTCGCACACCAACTCACATATATTAAGAAGAACACTAAGCTAATGATGTTTACCACCTTAGGCTAAAGGTAAAAGAGCAATGCAGTATTCCTAATATCAGGACTTCACAATTGCAAATCAACAACGATGTGTTAAAAACATGTTATATGACCCAAATTCTAGGAAGGCGTAATTTGATTTATGCTTCTCCTAGTGGGTTGTCCACCCATGGGTATACCGCTGGGCATTCAGCACAGGTCTGGAAGAAACGGTCTCCCTGGTGCTCCTCGTCATTGGGCGCGTAGCTGATGTTGAAGTAGCCACACAGGTTGGGATGGGCGCACAGTGGGGTGCGGTTAGCAAAGTCGCACTTGAACGCATCAGATCTTCCTACATCAGAAAGCTTGACTGGGTTCTTCATGTACTCGATCAGCTGGCTGTATGTCACGAAGTAGACATCGCGATTTTCTTGGATCTCATCAAGGAACTGCTGGAGAGCCTCCATGTTGTAGTAGCCATTGTTGAGGAACCATCTGGCACGGAGGTTGATGGGGAAGGGAGCCTTGTTGGTCTTGTAATGGCGTTCAAAGTTGGTACGCAAGAGCTCAAGAGCCTCTGCCTTGTCGTTGGGATAATAGCAACTGTCAACGTTGGCGCACAGCGTGTCGTTGGTATCGAACCAGTCAACAAGGGGAACCTCCCACATTCCAGAGATGGAGGAAGTTGGGCATGGAGGGATGGCGCAGCCACCAGTGGACTGGTAATCGAAGGTGTATGGCCACAGGGGAGGATTAATCTTGTCGGTTGGGTAGGAAGAATCCCATGTGAATCCATCATCCTTAATGAGGTTAACGAAGTCGCTTCCCTTGGTCTGCAGGTAAGCAGATCGCACTCCCTTGATGGCGCTGGCTGGGATGCCAGAGAACCTGTTGAACATGGCGCGCTGTCCGGCATACTCAGCAGAGAGTTCGGCATCTGAAGCCTGGGCCCAGTACTCTGATGGCAACTGCTTACTGTAACCATTAAAAACATAGTTTAAGAATGTTTTGATTAACATGAATAGATGATATAATCACGTAAGTCTTGAACGAGTATTTTGAAATGTTGTTGAAAATCTAAATTTTACATATGTATACATTACATTAAAACGAAATACTGCCGCAGTTGGAAATATCTAACAGCAAGAAAGCATTACTTACGTGATAGAGAATGAGGCGATCTCATTTCCCTCGGCGTACATCGACTGGACTGCTGCGTAATCAGTGAACTGATGGCTTGTGAA